TGAGGATCGGGTCTCTGCTTTTTGCTTTTTTATTGTGGTCCTGTTGGCTTTATCAGAACGTAATCTCCGGCTTTCACTGAAGTGGTTCACAGCCGAGTGTGAAGCAGCTATGATGAGAATCAGCTCCTCTAAATCAGAGACCATGGTCTTGAATTGGAAAAAGGTAGAATGCCTTCTCCAGGTTGGGTCCTGCCCCAAGTGGAGGAGTCTTGGCGTCGTGAGAGCTGAGCCGATTTATGTTCCAGTCCTCACCTATGGTCATGAGCTTTGGGTAGTGACAGAAAGAACGAGATTGCGGATGCAAGCGGCTGAAATGCGTTTACTCTGCAGGGTAGCTGGGCTCTCTCTTAGAGATAGGGTTTGAAGCTTGGTCACCCGGGAGGGGCTCGGAGTAGATCTGCTGCTCCTCCACATCAAGAGCAGCCAGTTGATGTGGCTTGGGCATTTAGTTAGGATGCCTCCTGGATGCCTCCCTGGTGAGGTTTTCCGAGCACGTCCAAATATGAGAAGACCCAAATGAAGACTCAGGACATGCTGGAGGGACTACGTCTCTTGGCTGGCCAGTGAACACCTTGGGATTCCCCTCGAAGAGATGGCCCAAGTGGTTGAGGCGAGGGAAGTCTGGGCCTTTTGGCTTAGTCTGCTGCCCCTGCGACCCCGACTCCGGATAAATGACAAATAATGGATGGATGGATGGATGATCATCAAATGCTTATTTTAAATAAAGTTTAAATGATAAAAACATTGTTTTCACAATTTTATTAACAAGAATACAAAGACAAACGTGATGTCAGAGCCACAGGTCTGTAGTCATTGAGTCCACTGATCCTTGGCCTCTTGGCGGCAGGAACTATGGTGAAGGTCTTGAAGCAGGCAGGCACATGAGATGCCTCCAGTGAGGAGTTGATAATGCCCGTAAACACTGGCACCAGCTCATCAGCGCAGTGCTTTAGAGTGGCGAGAGATACACCATCAGGGCCCGGGGCTTTCTGTGCATTTCGAGTTTTGAATTGCTTCTTCACATCTGCCTCATGGACGTGTAGGGTTGTGGTGGAGGTGTGTGATGTGAGGACCTCCTGGGTGACGGGTGAGGAGGAGAGTGCTGAGGGTAAATTCCACAGTGATGGTGATGGCTCTGGAGTGGGGGGTGAATAACCAATGTCTCTATTATTGTTGGGACTGGATGAGGTGTGAGACCTGCTTGATGGCTCATCAAACCAACAAAGCCAAAAGACTCCCAGTTAGACCAAAACTTGACAACTTACTTTTGCCTTAGGTACAGTGAGTGTTTGGTTTTGAATCTTCAACTTGTCCATTTACCTAATTAGTAATTAAGATGACTGGTGGGACGTTCAGGCATACATAGGAATCGACGGGGCGACGGTGGCACAGGAGTTAAGTGCTCGCCCCGTAATCGGAAGGTTGCAGGTTCGAGCCCCGCTCGATCTGTCGCTGTCGTTGTGTCCTTGGGCAAGACACTTAACCCACGTTGCCTGCTGGTGGTGGTCGGAGGGACCGGTGGCGCCAGTGCTCGGCAGCCTCGCCTCTGTCAGTGCGCCCCAGGGCAGCTGTGGCTACACTGTAGCTCATCCCCACCAGTGTGTGAATGTGTGTGTGAATGGGTGAATGACTGGTTGTGTTGTAAAGCGCCTTGGGGGGGGTTCCAGGACTCTAGAAGGCGCTATATCAAATACAGGCCATTTACCATTTTTACCAATCGGCACTGTCTGCTTCAGGGGTATCTGAATTTCTAAAACCTTTATTTTAAAAGTTAAAATCACTTTTAAAGGCTAATTGTTGGATTTGGAAGACTTAAACAATATTATTTTACAAGCCGTAACACTTCCTTCTTTTAGTTATTTTTAAAACACAGAAAATGTTTATTTACCTGCAACGTTTCGTTTGCGGCTGCAAACTTCCTCAGAGCTGACGCTGATGGTGGCGTCACTTCCTTCTCCGTTTATCCGCGGGCAGCAGAGGATGTTGTCGCCCTCTGCTGCCCGCTCTCCCCTCTCCGATGATGCAGTCCCATGCACGGTCCAACGAGTAAACTCCATCGTCTCTGTTCATGGTCCCACATCCACGTCTCCTTATCTCTATAGCTTCTGTTATCCATCTTTTGTATTTCTGTTGTTCGGTGTTTATGATCCTTGTGTTGTCCCGGTCCATTATATGGTTTTCTCTTGTGCAGTGATCTGTTACGGCTGACTTCTTTATTGTGCTTTCTGCTTCTTCTTTTGCTGCTCTTGTGTGTCCTCGACTTGCCTCTTTCTCGCACTCCGTTCTGTGTTCTATTCTTCGTGTGTTGAGTTGGCGACAACATCCTCTGCTGCCCGTGGATAAACGGAGAAGGAAGTGATGCTGCCATCAGTGTCAGCCTGACGAAGTTTGCAGCCGCTAACGAAACGTTGCAGGTAAATAAAACCTTTCTGTGTTTTAAAAAGAACTAAAAGATGGAATTAGAATTTCAACACAGCAAGAACACACCAAAGAAGCCGTAACACTGTTGTTTACATTAATTCTGTGGTGATCTACAAGCATAAACACTAAAAGTTTTGTCAATATAATCAGGTAAAATAGGAATAAATGAAATGACAGAAAACAATTGTTGCTGAACTGTTTTAAAATTAGAAGACTGGAGCTGATGTTTGATGGTAGCAGTGTAAGTATACCTCTGCTCTTAGACTGGCCAGTAGCTCATCAATCCTGGTGAACATGAACTCTTTCTCAGAACTGAGGCTGTTCAGGAAGCTATCTAGATTGGGGAAGACGTCATTTTAAAGATTGTACAGCAGCTTTCAGATTTGGCAAAAAGCAACTCAAACAACCACAGATTTTAGTGTTATTGTTTGTCTCTCGACTGAAGATTAAATATGTTTATTTTAAAGCATCAGAACTGCTGGCAGATTGAAAAAATTGTAAAATTTTGAAGAAAATGTTCAGATTTTCTGTCTTCATTTGGCTAAAGCATCATGTTAAACGCTCAGACATATTTTATTCTTATGTAACTGAAAGAAAAAGAAATAAACTTTAAATTTTGTGCTAAGTACTGTTAGCAGTGTTAGCTCTGATGCTAAGAATTCTGGTCTTTGCACACAATTATTCTGCTAATGCAAGAATTAAACAGATAACAACTCTCTGTCTTCTCTTTCGTCCTCTCTTTTCATCATTTGTCATCATTTGAGCTCTGTGGTGTTTACTCTCCATCTCTGTGCCATGGCTGAGGGTGGCTAGTTATCAGGCTGACCCAGCCCAGCCAGGCCCTCCTACCTGACCACTGCCAGCAGGGAGCGGCTGCCCTCGTCTAAATATCTGCAACCACAACAGCAGCCAGGGAATGAGGAAATCAGACCAGAGTCAGCTTCTGCAGGCTTAGAGGGTGCCGCTCTGCATGAAAATTCATCGGCACGCGTTTGCAGACGCGCTGAGGAGCCCGCCATTTCTGCAACATCCGGCTATAAATCTGTTGTGACAAGCAAACTGAATTCATGAGCCAATCTTCTTGCGACAGATGTGTTTTAATTTTAAAAAATGAAAAGAGGATGGAATAAAAAACTAGTGAAAGTGAACTTCTGCTTTAACTTTCAGAGTTTGAATTTATTTCAATTTATTCTTTTAAATTTTTCACTTCTATAGTTTTTGAAGTCAAGCGTCAGTGTATTTTGACAAAGTTTTAGGAATCTAACCCCTATTGTTTTTAACATCTTAATCCTATTGTTTTTGTCAATAAAAAACACACACACACACACACACACACGCTGCTGCCTTCTCAGTCAGTGGAAGCAGGTGTTTGTGACTCTCTTGGGGTTTGAGGTTTTTCTTTTTTCAAACTTTTTTTCATGGGGTTAAGTAGAAGATAGTGAAATTCCCAATGTGAAAGTCTGCTTTTTACACACACACACACACACACACACACACACACACACACACACACACACACACACACACACGCACGCACAAACAAAACTAAAATAGCTGGCTTTGAATAAAAGTTTTTAAATGAAACTTGTGCTGTCTCCTAGCTGCTGTCCCAATTGTTCCAGGGGTGCCCAATCCTGGTCCTGGAGGGCCGGTATCCAGCATGTTTTAGTGGTTTCTCTGGTGTAACACACTTGATTCAGTGGCTAAATCACCTGTGCAGCATCTCTTCAGGCTCTGCAGAAGCCTGTTAATCACCTGCAGATTAAAATCAGGTGTTGAAACAAGATTGAAACTAAAACCTGCTGGATGGCGGCCTTCCAGGACCTGGATTGGGCACCCCTGAAAACAGAATCAAACATATTTACCATCATCCTGTTTGACCCTGAAAATGTGTCCATCACATAAAATGTCTTTTCTGTTCACGTGTCCCTCTGAAACTACACCAACAAAGCTAGGGATCTATATTTGAGGACTCTGTGGTGAATCAGAGTAAACTGGGGGTGCAGGTGGCTGGGGGGTTAAATATAGCTGCTGGTCTGAGCCAGGGCCCCTTGACTTTTGCAAGCTCTCACAGGAAAAGCAGTCCCCTCACGAGACTGACAGGAGCTGCTTTAGCTGCACATGGAACATTTTCACATCAGTAATCATAGTGCATGCTAACGTGAAGTGTGCAAAAAAATACACGGAATGATAAACATTTCTGGATCATGCTTGTGAGCGGTGCCCCTGTTGTCCTATGATATAGCAGCAACAGTTGGGAATATTTGCCTATTTCCTTCACTGCCTGGTAATCTGTCCAAACTCCCAGTGAATGTCCTACGGAGGGAAAAAAATGCCACGATACACATTTACAACAATTCTTTGTATCAGATGGGGGTATTTGAATTCTACAGTCATAAGATATATTTGAATACCATAGATGGTTTGCTCTTCTAGAGAATAGATAAGACTTTCACTCCAAACAATTGTAGAGCAATTACAGCCTTTTACAGTTCAGACATTAAAATCCTCTTTACGGTTCGCCACCGCTTCAACACGTTTAATGATCATCTTTATGTTAATTAACACAGGACGCGTAATCGTAATAAAAACAGCACACTTTATTTGCTTGACAGTATAGAAAAGTATAAAAACTTGGCATGTATAAATGCTTTTATAAAAACAGTAGCTCCTGCAAGGCTAGTATCAAAACAAGTACAAAAAGATTGTTGGCTAAGTGTTCGAGATAGGCTACTGCAGATTCTGTGAATTTAAAAAAAATGAAATGCTGAAGTCTGCTTTACAAAAAGAATAAAAAATCATACAAAACTTGCAACTGGGCTTGTGTTTGTAGTATAAAAAAAAGTGTTTACCTTTGTTGTTTTCTAAGAATAAAAAAGTCAAGTGCTGCTTGTTCTTACTCTTACTGGGTCAAGCTCATTTCAGATTATGAAATGTACATAGTGTAATCTCTTCCCCTCTCCCTCCATATACTTATATATAACATTATATTTAATCATTTGTTCATGATTGTCTCCCAATTCAGGGTTGATGTGAAGGCCGCTGCGAATTGAAATGAAAACTCAAATTGGATGAGAAACCGGTGAAATGTGGTAAACAGGTAATACTAACATCATCATTAATGATAAGAACAGACGTCTCTGCTCTGGTTGAGTGTTTACGTGATGTGTCAGACCATAAGGTTGAAATATCCAGTAGACCCAGGATCGACTTTGAAAACCAATGACAAAAACGAAAAGTGAAAGAGCTCCATAAGAGTAAAAATAAAACAAAACAATAATTCAGAGGTCAGTTTTGAAATCCTCACGCTTTCGGGTTACATGATAATGCTAACAGGGCTTAAATACTTAAAATTACAACACTGCTCAATTGGTCGATTGTAAAACATCAAAAAGAGGAAAAAAAAAAAGGAAATCAAACCAATAAATTAACTTGTTCTTTATATTAATATCAAAATTTGTAACTAATAATACAGCCCAATGCAAACACAGTCACCATTTCCCCCATTTCTATAATACAATGATGATAATGAGCAGTTTAGACCAAGAGACAAAGGAAAACCCAAATCCAACGTTTGTGTACAGATGTAGTCTTCCGTTGGTTGAATTCCAACAAGTTTGAGTGTAAAAACACCGGCGGCATGAAGCCTCTCCCAACTGTTGTACCACAACAAATATAAAACCTGCGACGCTGTGTCCAGCGCAGGGAGTGTTGACGCTTCCAGATCAGCGTCCGTCTCCGTCTACATCACCAGTGTCCTCGTAGGGTAAGTGTTGATGAACTTGTGGCTCTGCTCCGAGGCCAAAATGTGCTCCTCTGGTTTCCCACAAGTCTGCTCCCAGGAACTGAGCTGTTGCTGCTGGAGAGAACCGAGCTGGTTTGGTTTTTATGATCAACATCAGCGGCATCACCAGCGTACACGGACATGGACCTACCTGTAGTGGGCTGTCCATGCCTCGGTGAGGGATGTGGAAGGTTTTGTGTCCATCGTCACTCAGTACTGAGCTTGTAAGCAGGTCCTGAATGAAAACGCACAAGCCTGAATATTAGTAAAAGTAAATGATTGTAGAATTAAAACGCTAAAAGCTCAAAGACAGACGTACAGGTACTTCCTGTGCAGATGTGTTGGGGGAGAAGAGTTGTGTGTTGAGCTCCTGGCCTTCCCACTGCATGCATGGGCTCCTTTCACATGGAGACTCCACCTTGACCCCAAAACACAACATGACTATTAAGGATCATACCATCAGTACAACACTCTAACACCTCTGAAGTGTGTCTGTGGGTTGGTGTACCTCCTGTTTGATCTTCTTATGAGGAGGCTGTTCAATGGCACACTCCATTGGCTCCTGCTTGATAGACTCAACCATCGGCTGCTCCAACGTTGTATTCTGAGAAAGGCACAAATCTCCCGGTGAATCCCAAGGCCGCATCATAAATGTAAAAATCTAGTTTTTTTTTCTCACCAGTAGTTTAAGGGGTCCGTACTTGGTGTCCTGGAGGGCAAGGGTTGATCTGAAAGGTGTGGGCGTACGAGGACTCGTCTCGAGAATCGATCTACGACTGTTCGGTGTTCGGAATCTGAGGTAGAGAGAACACAAGCGGTGTTTTAAAGCCTCGTACAAAACCAATCTAAGTCATGCAACGAGAGACGTAAGGAACCTCACATTTCATTCTCCTTTTGAGGCCGGATGGAGTGGTCGATGTGAGGCTTGACGTCCACGTGCATGCTCGTTCCTAAACTGTCATCAGAGTGTTCTGGGCTCATCGACTGGTTAAGAAACTGAAACAAAAGTGGAACAAATCAGAATGGGTTTCAGGTCAAAATCACCAACTCAAAAGGATCAGGGTTGAAGAAGTCAATGCTCGCTCTCTTTCTCACCAGCCACCACATGACTGGTGGCTGGTCCATGTTCAACACTCAGCTAACTACCTGTGAAGGTGGAAATGGTAGGACACTGACTGCTGAAGACTTGGGCGTGGAGCAGATGAAAGCAGCTCTGGAGTTCTGATTGGAAGACACTTTGCCTGTTTTCACAACGCTCTTACCCAAGAAGCTAAAGGCCTCGCCTGCTAAGGATGGGCTCTGGGGAAAGGGACGGTAAAACGGGTCAAAACCCCCGCTGCCGACGATCTAAGCTATCTATCTCACGTGCATACGGGTTGTTGCGTCACAAAAAAGAAATCAAGCAGAGACTTACTGAATCAATGACAGATTCCATGAAGTCTGGAATAGTATTTGAGAATGTGGGACTGCTGTGGTGGCTGCTGCTGTTGGAGCGGGAACGAGCTGCCGAGGCGCTCTCCTCCGGCAGGCAGCTCTGGTCCAGAGGCAGGGCCGTGGCGGTTGCCTGGTAATGAGGTAAAGACATCGCCCCGCCGTCCGGGCTGCTGATCACAGAGCTCTGGCTGGCCCAGCTCGGGAAGGACAGGTTTATCTGTAACAGGGATGAATAACGAAGAATGAGAGGTGTGAAACTGTTGAAGAGATTAGAGAAAAGAAAAGAAGGAGGAAGGGAACTCAATATTAAAAGCAAGAGAAGTGTTGAGCAGGAGAGGGTTGCACAAGGGGTCATGCACACACAGAAACAGTGATAAGGTCCGGTTTCGTCACTTCTGCAGAAACAGACCCCCCAGATGTTTCCTCCTTATTCACACAGAAGCTCGCGTCCGACCGCTGTCCTTAAGGCGGGGTGATGAATGACAGGACCCAGACAGACGAGGTACTCACTGGTAGTGACGGCTGGCCTTTCAGCTCGTTTTCTGTCGACATGAGCAGCAGCTCGATCTCTTTTACCCTCTGCTCCTTCTCAGGGTCCTCCTCACTATAGTGTCTCTAAAACGAGGAGAGCGTAGGAGGAATATATTAGTCACTTCCTGTCTTCTGATGACTTTTATTGCCCTCATTTATACACGCACTGTTTTCCACCTCTCTGATAACAACTGAACGTGTTGGAGGCTTGTTTGAATGACCTCCTCATGCGTCTCCTGAGAATAAATTATGGATGCAACTGTAATTTTAAGCTGCTTTATTCGAATTTGGTAGACTGAAAGTCAATTTATAGATAAAATAAAACCAAAAACTGTATTTAGTTCAAGTTAAAGTCACCAGATTTTTCATTTAAATGTAAAAATCACATTTTCATCAGTTCCTCCACTGCTGACGTTTCACAAAATAATTGTTCCAGTTTGACATGATGTGGTGAGGAAACTGAATCTTGGAGGATCTTCAATAAAGTAAAAACAAACGTAACCAAGGTGTAAGGGTTGCGTAGCCCGCGTGTGATAGCGAGACTGTTTAAGCGTACCTGAATGGCAGCGGGTCCATGGTGGGCGAGGTTCAGGATGTTCAAATGCAGGGCCATCGGGAAGGGCACCTGTTGAGCCGACCACAAACACATCCGTGTTATTCCGCTTCTTAGGGCGCTTGTCCCGTTTTGGTCCCCCCTTCGTGAGTTCTACTCACCCTGTGAGTGTCGGACATGTAGGCGTAGTTTAGTGGCGACACGGGAGGCAGCTGCGCGTGACTGGGCGAGTGTTGCGGGAAGCTCATGATGTGATTGCTGGACTTGATGTAGCCGTGGCCGATGGGCAGCGAGGAGCTGCCGGTCTTGGGTGTGCTCTGGAGGTAGCCCTCCTGTTCCACCTTTCGCCTCATGGTGGAGTTCCAGTGGTTCTTAATGGCGTTGTCGGTCCTGCGGGTCACAAGCAGCACCATGTGGAGATTATTTACTCGTAAACACGCCCTCTGTGGTATCCTGAGAGGCGTTATCAACACCGGCGCACACACACGGATGCAGATAGAGAAAGTCTCAGTCAAACACACAATCGCATGCAGGCTGTTGATAAGGTTATCAGGATAAAGCAATATCTCCATCTCTGCTCGTTCCACTCCAAACCTTTTTTAAAAAAGAGCATCTTTACTTTAACACATAAGCGTCCTCTCTTCTACTTCAGCCTCACCACATTACACTCAGTGATCCATCTAGCTGCACTTCTCCCTCCATCAGCCTCACCTGCCAGGAAGGAGCTTGGCAATTTCCGCCCAGCGGTTTCCCAGCTTCTCGTGTGCCTGGTAGATGATTCTGTCCTCCTCCTCGGTCCACGAGGTCTTCTTCACCTCGGGATTCAGGTGGTTGTGCCAGCGTTCGCGGCACTGCTTCCCGATCCGTCCCTTCAGGTGCTTAGCAATCACCGACCAGCGCTTGGCTCCGTACTTCTGGACCAGCTCGATCACCTGTGGTGGTTTTTGGGTTTGAGGGTGAGAAAAAAAGAGGAAAGGGCAAAAGAACATGAGGAAGAACAATGAAAAGGAAGTAGATGGCAGAGGATTGGGAAAGGGGAAGGAAAAAGTAATAATAGTGAGGAGAGGGAGAAGTTAAGGGGGAGTGAAGATATGACAGTAAAGGGGGGGGGGGGGGGGGGATGAAAGAACAAATAGAATAAAAAGTTTAATAAAGCTGCATGAGCTGTTAGAGATGTTTACAGCTTTATGAGGCTTCTCCCCGGCCCTCGACTTTCTTCTCGGAGGTGAGAGAGAACACCTGCCAGAGAGGGCCGAGGGAGTTTCCTGTGCAACATTAGCCGCTCTGCTAATCGTTTCAGTGGCATCTGGCTGGAAATGCAACTCCTTAGATTTAGCTCAATAAACACCCGCTGCTTGGATGAGATTAAACAAGACATATGTTGTGTAACAAAAAATGTGCAAGAGCATACAAAGAATTGCCACAGAGGGGGTTGCTTTAATCTAACAGGAACATAAAGTATTACAACTTATACATTACAACTTATTTCCTGTGAGTAAAAACCCTACTTTTGTTTCTAGCAGGTTCCTAGAGATGTTAATGGCTCTCTGGAAACTGATGTTATTAATCATCACTTCTATGTTTTCCTACCCTCTGGTCCTCCTCTTTGGTCCAAGGTCCTTTTATGAGTTCTGGGTTGAGAACCTTCTGCCACCTGTGCTGGCACTGCACGTCCGTTCGATTCTGAGTGGTTTAGAGCACAAAAAGGCATTTTATTATTTTGTGCATATTTAAATCCAGAGCTCTGATGGAGATGCACCTCAGCTTTTGGCTTTCACATCATTTATTTACCTCCAAGGCAAGCTACTTACAGTTAGTAGGCTTGCAATGACTTTCCAGTCTTCAGATCCATGAAGTTCAACAAGTTTCTTCAGCTTGTCATCCTGAATGAGACAGAAAACATGTTTGCTGAAGAGGTCAAACATCTGCTGCAGTTGCAGTAACAAATGCATTAAAACGTGGGGTTCACACATTCCTAGAGTGAATGCCGGCAAAAAGTTGAATTTTGAATACCTCCTCTCGCGTCCAGCGAGTTTTGCCAAGGTGACGCTTCCCTGTCTTGGCCAGTGACCCGTCATAGTCGTGTTCATACAAATCTGTCTCCTCCTCATCCTCCTCGCTGCTGTAAACACTGCAGAAATAAACAAAGGTCAGAGATTAAATGAGGTGGAGTCTGTGTGAAAAGTGTTGCATGATATCTGATAATAATGGGAGAATGAACTTTATGTCTATTGATACATAACTCCTTAATAAGCTCTTTAGAGAGAACATAAAGAAGTCAACCCGCTGTTTAGCTCATCAGGTGTCAAAGACAGACAGAGAACCAGTCATTCTTGAAGGTTTGGGTGCAGGCCTGGAGCCAAGACACCCACAAGCAGAAAAAAAAAGACCGAAGGAAAGAACAGCAGCCTGGAGGGAGGAGGGGAGGGAGGGAGAAGGATGAACAGGTTCCAGTGTTTTTGGTTTCCACAGATACTGGGATTGGCACATGTGATCATAATTTTGTGACCCTGGCGTGTTCAGACCTGCACAGGTATTGTACAGCATGCACACACACACACACACAGTGTTTGGTTAACCAATCAAGATGTCGGACCAAAAGAATGTGGAAGCTAGGTAGCTTCAGAGTGAGCAACAGGTGTACAACCCCCCTCTGCGGTGTCAGTCAAGGTTATTTATTGTGTTATCGTCCTCCTATTCTTTTATTATCCATTAACTGGACATTTTGACTTAATGAGCAGCAAAAAATCCACTGACAAACATACAAGAGACCCCTGATGCACAGCACAAAGAATACATGTAATAAAACAAGATCAGAGACATCATGATTAACCTTGTTTGGGCACAACATTACAGATAGATTCAAAAACGTATTGCATTTATGGTTTCTATCATGTTATAAGTGAGTATATTTCATTTTAACATCCATATGGAACTGAAAACCATCGATGGGATTCTGAACAGCAGAATTTATGTCATAATGATCAGAAAGACACAGACCGTCTAACTTGAGGTAGGTGGGTTTGTTTTTCTTTAAATATTTTAGTAAACAGAGCACGCGCTGTTGAGGACGTTGTGAAAGCGCTGTTTCCAAAATAACCGAGCGCCTCTTGCTTTCAGTGATGCTGCTGAACACTTCAGGCTGGTGCTGAGTGACCTTTAGACTGGATTCATTTGAGCAGTTATGCGTTAAATGGGACGAAAACGAAAGTAACAGAATGCGTTCGCGGCCGCGTTGAACGCAACACACCAGAATGCAAAAACACAAACCCTGAAACTGCTTTCAGTCTAATAGTATGCATAATATCTGCGATATCTTTGAAACACCTGCGTCTGTTCACCGTATTGCTCCGCAGCGTGGCATCAGCGCGCGCGCGCGTGTGTGTCACCGTGACAGCAGCGCGAGGAGCGCACATGCCAGATGACCACCACCTGTCATTGGCGCGAGCCTCCCTCGCAAGGAAAACATAACACTCACAAATACAAAAATAATAATAATAACTCAACGAAAATTATCTAACTTTTCTCCTTCTGCTTTTAGGGAAAAGCGCGTGCCCTGTCAGAAAAGATGCACCTTTAAGTGCTCCGCTTCACGCTAAAAACACAACAACTGCGATGAAATATGATGAAAAAGTTCTGAATTATGAGGTTTAAAGTAAGTTTTCAGTGGAAGCCCACCTGTTTCTCGGCCGCCGAGTCATTGTTGAGTCGGGACAGCGGCTTCCAGCAGGTGGTGCCGAGCATGTACCTTCGCTGTCAGCGCGGAGCTTCTTCTCCCAGCGACCAGGAGGCTGACATTAACTTAAACTGGTGTGGCAGACTCCGGGGAGTGCTCCTCCTCCCTCCCTTCCTTCGCATCCCGGGCAATTTGGCGCTACTCAGGCTTTTCGCTCCAGTGCGCATGCTCAATACACCGTCTACTCCACTTGCAGTCGTAATTTTCTTTATCTGTATTTAAAAACACACAAAAAAAATGTGATTAATGGAAATGAAAGAAATTTTGCAACGAGGTAAAACATTACATTCTAAAATTGAGTAAACTTAAATTTTAGCTAAAAAATAAAACAATAACCACTGGGCTCACTCTACTAAGAAATAAATTCAGTGTTACATTGAATGCACCATAAAAATAAATGGCATATTAAAAGTTAATACGTGTCAATTGAATAACTTCCCGCGTTTAGTTCAGTTTTGTCCTATACATAATTAAAATATAATACAAATGTGCGCAACAAAGTGGTGTTAACATTTACACAATTATAGTGAAGTACTACCCACCTCCTCACACACACACACACACACACACACACACACACACACACACACACACACACACACACACGCACGCACGCACGCACGCACGCACACAAACACACACACACACACACACACACACACACACACACACACAGCCTGGTCGTGCGCGCAGAACACTTTCCATTGAGCAATGTGCATTGCTTCTCTTTTTCCTATGAAAAGAAGAAGGAGAGTGTTGGCATTCGGACGGAGAGAACAATAAGACAGGGTTTGCATGCGACAAGAGCGAAGTAACAGCACCTGTTCGTGGAGCGCTCACGGTGGAGTTGCAGATGTTTCCCTGTGATAAAGCTTGCAACAAAACCTTGTCTTATCGTCCCGCGACAAAACGCGCTCCCTTCTCTCCTACATAAACAAAGTTCATGAAACCCAGTAGCAATAAAACTATTTGTGGGGATTTATTGCGCTTTTAACTCATATGTTATCTGACTATTTTATTGCCTTTAGGGTTTTCTTCAAGTTTCTTCTTTAGTTCTGCATGCCAATTAATGCAAATAACCCACATTTAAATTAAACAGGTTCAACCTGTTTTTCAGCAACCTGAATGATGAGGAATAAATACTGTTCTTGCATGACTTAATTATCTCTAATTTATTATAATTATTTTATTTTCCAGTAAGGCTGACCGTGTGCTATGACAATTTTGTTTTGGCTGATTTTTCTTTTCACCCTGATCCAGGGCTGTTCTTGTTCAACCATTCATTGCAAGAAAGGAGGGGGGCTTAAAGCTTTATTTGTACAAATGTGTCTTCTCATTGTATTAGTTCCTCCATACGCGACCTTATTGTCCTGGTCACTTGTAATTATCATCACCCCAGAACAGCCTATTGTCCCAGGATAGTTTTCATAATAGCTGGCTGACAAAGGGCTACAGACATGTGTGTGCACATGTTGCCACAGACAGAAAATTGCCCTATTTGATGCAGCATGCAGTGCATTTAACACATAGTCCTGAGAGTTAATGACATAGAACATAACTATTATTTAGACAATGCAATGATGAAAAGGTCGTTGTAAAGTGGAGATGTTAGAACACCAGTAACAGGCGTGATTGCCAAAAAATGTAATCAGAGGTCCATGATGTGATGTGTCAGATGGTTGCCGGGAAACAATCACTTCTAGGCTTCTATTCTTCCACACACCTGTGTACACAAGCATTGTGCCAGTCATTTCTGCCTCGAGGAGGTGGTATTTCTAATCTATTCAAATGTCTAATTATATAGTAGCTGTGCACAATTGTAACACTAGATGCCCCACATAAGAGAAAGTGGGTCACTAAAAGTAATCAAGCACAAATCATCTGTAAAACCTAAATGTCAACACAAATCCAATGTTCTATTTTACATCTTTCAAGAATTTATGACCATTAGATGCACAAGGCCCACATTTGATAAAGGTTTTCCTTCTAGGGTAATTTTTCCCAACTATATTGTTATCTGAGACCAAACTGAGAGATGAGAGCCAGTGCATGTAAATTCCTTCATAGTAGGTCAAACAGGAAGCTGGACACCCATTGACTCTGTAGCCCAGGACATTTGCATGGGTGTGATTGGGCAGGTTGATGGCAGGCATTGTGATGGCTAACCTCTTTGTAAAGCACTGTGTGCACAGGTTGGTTCATTTGAATGATTTTAATGACAGCTCCGGGCCCTGAGGTATCATCCCATGAGGCATTCGAACCCAGTTTGACTTAGATTGGTGTAGTTGATTGTTTGTGTGTGAATTTAAATTTGTGTATAAGAAGGGTTGATCCTAAGTCAAACTGTTGGTAAATATTATTTTGTAGTTATGTAGTTGAATAAATCCGCATGTTATAATGCTAACTGTTATTGTTACTGGTTAGACATAACTGTTGTTTTTAAATTAGAGGCCAAGCAAGGCGACAGTGGCTCAGGGATACGAGTTTGCCCTGTTATCGGTGGGTTGCCAGTTTGAAACTAGGCTCCTGGCCGCATTCATAGGTCATTGTGTCCTTGGGCAAGACATTTCACCCTGTGGTGCCTGTGTTCGACAGCCTTGCCTCTGTCACTGGGCCCCATGGCAGCTGTGGCTACATAATGGCTCATCACACATAAGTGTGTGAACAGGTGAATAACCGACTCGATTGGAAAACACATTTGAGTCCTCCGACTTAGAAAAACACCATAAGTGCAGGTCATTTATCATTGCTGACTATCTTGTATTATTGTTCAAAGTGAACTGTGGCCCTCTTTCTCCCTACTCAAAACCAGTTGTCACCAGTCTGGGGGTGAAAATTAATGCTGGACTTAAATTTGATGCTCACATCAACTCTGTGATCCGGTCCAGTTTCTTTCACCTGAGACGCCTTGCAAAAATCAAGCCTATGCTGTCGACAGCCCACCTGGAGCGGGTACTGCATGCATTTGTTATTTCTAGGCTTGATTACTGCAGCTCTCCGTATGCAGGGTTGTGTCAGTCATCACTGCGTCGCCTACAGGTTGTGCAGAACAGCGCAGCCAGGTTTCTGACTGGGACCAGGAAACAGGACCACATCAATCCGGTTCTGGCCTCCCTGCACTGGCTTCTGGTCTGTTATCGTTCACACTTTAAACTCCTCGTCTTTGTTTACAATTTCTTCCAGGGTGGTGCTCCCCCTATCTGGCCACAATCCTGAACAGATACTCCCCATCACGCGCTCTGTGCTCCTCTAACCAAGGCCTGCTCGCTGTCCCTAGTTCTAGGTGTCGTACTCGCGGGGACCGGACTTTCTCAGTCCTAGCACCGTCACACTCTGGAACCAGTTTCCACCCTCAGTTAGGCTGTCCCCATCTCTGCCAGTCTTTAAGAGTCGCCTAAACCCACCTCCTCCGCTTGGCGTTTCCTGAACGTGTTTGAATTAGGCCCTCTTTTATGTTGAGTTTATTTCCCTGTTTTCATTGGTCTCTCTGTCCCTTGTTTTACCCATTTGTCTTCTACTTGAATGTTTTACCTTTTTTTGTAATTTGTAATTTGAACTGCCTTAATTTTCGATTTATTCATTTAACTTTGTCATGTACTATGTTCAGCGCCTTGGGCTTCCCGACAGGGTTGCGGAAGGCGCTATATAAATAAAGCTTTGACTGATTGATTGATTGATTGAATGTTTTAACCCTTTGATGAATAATGGTCACTACACTGGACAGGTACTTAAAATTGTTATTTATTTATTTTTGCTATTAAGCACAGCTGTTGAAGACTTTATTGCATTTGAACCCGTCCATTTGGACTTCAGTAAGTCAAGCCAACATATTTCATGTTCAGATTGCACACTGTCCACTGAGGTGGACATGTAAAAAATGATTTGTAAATTAAATTTTACAAAAAATATGTAAATATGAAATTTGTTTCATTCACACCTAAAGATGAATGAAAAAAATTGTTACAAAAATCATGGTTGAAGATTTCATAATTCATGCATCAAAGGGTTAAAGGTTCCTGTGCAATCTTATTTAAATATGTGTTGTAAGTGAAACTCAGCTATGACCACATCAAATTTTAACTAAAAGTCTGCTCATCTTAGTTGTGGCAAATTTTATAGAGAAACAACTGAGGGCTGCATTCTATTCCTGCAGCTGCTCATGCAAGTCTCTAAACCTGCTAACGAGCTGGACTTTCAAATGGAATGAAGCCCTTTTTAATGCTCTTTTGTTTTCTCCCACTCTTTCAAGTCTAGATTTCAGCCATGAAAAGCTAACCTATAATCTAGACAGTCAGTTTGCTGAAGCAAATTGATCCATGCCATGCTCCGTCGGAACCAAAGCAACCCTGGACGTCTGGTGCTGGTCCAATCACAGTGCTCTATCTGTCTGGTGGCCAGGAAGTTGCATCTTCTTCGACAGTGTATGGCGGACTGTCCCATGACTGACATCATTAGCAGTCCAATCATGGTGCTCTATCTGTTTGCTGGGCCAATCACAGTGCTCTGTTGGTTTGGTGGCACCAAAGATGAATCAGTTGTAGACGTAAATGAAATGTTTACTTTCTAAGCATTTTAATTTAATTTGTTCATTGGTTAATTAAATATTTAACTTACACACAATTCAATTCAAATTTAAATATTTAACTTACATACAATATGATCTACTGAAAAAAGGTTATGGCAACATTTTAGAGAGGGTGCTCGCTGCAGAACTACAAAGGCGGAGCTGCACCATAAGGTGGAGCTGCACCAAAGTTAACCCCGCCCATTCACGCAAACTCAGCCTAGCCCACTGACTTCCGTTTTTGTTTTCAACTTTATCGCAAACTGACCTGACCCACATGAATTACGGCTATTACTAGTTTACAGTCGTTAATGCTATGTTCTGTGCTCCAATTAAACAAGATAAATATAACTTGCTACATGACAAAGTCTGAATATATCCCGAAATAAAAAGGTTTCTCGTAGCGAATATCTGCCCACAGCCGCTCTAATAAAAGTCGTGTACAACAGCATGTACCCCCTCCCTGTGGGTTCTGGTAGTCCAGTGTCAAGATCGTCCGACTTAAGTTTTGCTTTCCCCTCAGCTGATGCTGGTTCGATTCTCGGTGGGGTCGGCAACAATCTATTCAGCCAGCTGAAACATTTAATTTGTTCATATTTTAGTTGTAATGTTCATTTTCAGCAAAATATTTATGTCTCTACAAGTTCTTTGAATTTGGTCGTTCCTAAACAGCATTTTAGTTGAAACTCTGCTCACAGATGGAC